TACCTTAGCCTTTTTAATTATTTTAAAAATTCTTTTCTTTTCCTCATGACACTGGTGAGGCCCCGCCTCCCCTGCCTCCCCTGACTGCACGTTCCTGCTCAGTCTGATGGAATTAGGTCACCTTATATCTTATTATTTTATTTTATGGTAGAGCATGTTACTCCTGCTGCTACTATTAGCATTTATGTCCAAAATAGACATTCATACAATTCATTGAACCGTAATCTGCATAATCATGGTTTATCAAATCATAATCGGCTAAACCAGGAATTACAGACCATGAAATGTTAACAAGCAAGGTTTATAGTAAAACTGCAATTAATCTCTAAGGCACAAGATTTTTTTTTTTCATTTTGCAAAAATGAATCAATGCAATCTTTCTCCTTAATATACCATTTACATTCAGATTTTCTAAATGCTTCTACCCCTCCCAGTCCTATTACTTTAGATATCTTTCTACTAATCTGCTTAATATCATACTTGGGGAAGACTGGCCTAGGGTTGAGAGTTGTAGCACACTCTACTAATGTATAGAGGAACATTTTCTTCCCTAAAATTCTACTTTGACCAGAGTCACCCAGTGAGTTAATGACTTTACAGTTAATTGTCTTGACTATTATGGGTCATTTGTTTCCTGTAATTCTAGCTCTTTAATGGCCTTCTACAGTTTTATAGCATAATATAGATGCTAGTCAGGAAGTTTTGTTGACCATGGCATGACAAGGAAGAGGTTTCTTAATAGCTCTGTGCTGACAACACTCACACCTTGAGAAACCAGTTATTGAGCTGCAGGCAGTTTTAGTATGATTATCATGGCTGTTCTGAATTCTTGTGGGTAAGGAGGCCAGGTTCTTTCCCCACAGCATCACATCATGAGTTTGTGATTAAAAATCATGAGCATTGAAATTTTTGTCTTCTTTTTCAGGGATAGTTGTGATTCAGCCCTTGTTCCATTCCAGCAGCTTAGAGCTAATGCTAATTTGAATCTTTGCCAGCTCTTCCCCAAAGTCACTTTACTGATTTGTGCCCTCCAGACAGGTGATCCTGGATGATGTAGTACATACTTGTTTTGTGACAGACTGCATTGCTCTCTACTTTTATGGCTTTCTAAAGAACACCAGCTTTACATCTACATTTTTCTCATAAGCGCTGCATGTAGCTATAGCTCAATAATTCAAACTAGAAATGATGTATGACCGTACAATTTGTTCAATACAATGGAAGTAGGTTCACCAACAGCAGTTTGGAATAGATGCCAATCTAATCTACTGTTTTGGGAAAAGATTGAGGTAGAGGAAATGGCACATTAAAAATGAAGAACCACATCATCGCCCAAGCTCTTCCCACTGTTTTTTTTTCCTCAATTCCATCTATTTATAGATCCTTCCACTAGATCTGTCATATCAATTATGATCTCTAAGTTGACCTGCCATGAACTATGTATATAAAAGAGCCATGGTGGCGCAGTGGTTAGAATGCAGCATTGCAGGCTAATTCTGCTGACTGCTAGCAGTTCAGTTCTGACCGGCTCAAGGTTAACTCAGCCTTCCATCCTTCCAAGGTCAGTAAAATGAGGACCCAGATTGTTGGGGGCAATATGCTGACTTTCGAAACCATTCAGAGAATGCTGTAAAGCACCATGGAGCAGTATATACTGTAAGTCTAAGTGCTATTGCTACTGCTATTGCTTGTGTCATCAAGTAAAGCATGGGGTGCCTCCCAAGGTCTTCCCACCCCCAAAACACTGCAAGCTCCACTTACCACCCCTTGTGTCCCCACAGGTCTTTTCCCCTTCCTACCAGATCCCCTCTGTCCATTGCCTCCCCAACTGGATCTCTGCAGGTCTTTTTGCATTTCTGATATATCAAGTTTGGTTGGTTTTCCAGAGGAAGAGAGAGACGATCTGTGTTCACTGCATAAATGCTACCAGGATAAGGCACAGATAATTTTTTAAACTGATTACATGCTATCAAGTTGTTGTTGACTCCTAGCAACCACCTAGATAATGACATGACAATCTCCATGACAATCTCTAACATGGTCTTTCAGGTCATTCAATAGTGGAGACATACTGGATGACGTCCAAATGACTTTCAAGCCAATGCTCTTGTCTTCTTGAAGTAGGATACACATTACATACGCAAGAACTCCCCGTCCAGAGGAAAACCTTAAATAATGTGCCAAACTTTAACACACTTTTATAAAGATTTATATACTCCTACTGGGAAAGATTTCAAACCAGACAGTATTTCTCAACCGTGTCAACTTTAACATGCTGGCTGTGGAATTCTGGGAACTGACAGTGCTGTCTGACTCAGATATTTCTAACCAATCTTTGATACGGAATGTAGATTCCATGTTCATGCAAACCATTCAGCCACACTATTACCTTAGAGCATTGCTCAACCAGTAATTTCTTTCGGATTCGGGTCTCAAGCGCAAGAGAGCCGAGGTGGTGCAGTGGTTAGAGTGCAGTACTGCAGGCCACTTCAGCTGACTGTTATCTGCAGTTCAAGGTTGACTCAGGCTCAAGGTTGACTCAGCCTTCCATCTTTCCGAGGTGGGTGAAATGAGGACCCAGACTGTGGGGGCGATATGCTGACTCTGTAAACCGCTTAGA